TTCTGAGGCTCACTGAATCCCTGAATTTCTGTCAGGCGGTGGATGTATTTGGAGGGGATCTGATTGGCTGCTGCTGGTCTGGAGGTGATCCAGATGAGAGCAGAGGGAAGCAGCTCTCCTTTCATGAGCTTTGACATCAACACAGCCACTGATGAAGTCTCAGTCACATCACAAACTTTCTGAGCGTCTGAAAACATCAGTGTGATTCTGCTTTCATCCAGACCATCAAAGATGAACACAACTTTACACTCCTCATAAATCTGTGAGTCCAGATCTTGAAGTTCAGGATGAAAGTCCAGCAGAAGTCTGTGAAGACTGTACTGATGATCTCGGATCAAGTTCAGCTCTCGAAATGAAAGCACAAACATGAAATCTACATCCTGATTGGCTTTTCCCTCGGCCCAGTCCAGAATGAACTTCTGCACAGAGACGGTTTTTCCGATTCCAGCGATGCCTTTAGTAAGAACAGTCTTGATCTGCTCTTTCTCCTCAGATCCTGCTTCAGCTGAGGCTTTAAAGATGTCATTGCAGTCAATTGGAGTATCTTGTGAGTGTTGTGTTCTGGCTGTTTTCTCCATCTGTAAAACCTCATGTTCTTCATTCACTCCTTCTCTCTCTCCCTCTATGATGTAGAGCTGTGTGAAGATCCTGTTCAGGAGGGTTTCATTCTTTTGGAGTTTCATTCCCTCAAATAATCTCTCATATTTGTTCTTCATGCTGGTTTTGTGCTGGTCTTTGACTCTCTGCAGATCTACAGTCTCTAATGTGTCTCTCTGTAGGATTGTTTCAGTTCTATCCTGCCTGTAGTGAGATGCAGAAAAATAAAAAAGAGCAACACAAAGTCAATTATTGTCATTACAAAGAGTCACTGGAGACCACAAGACATATATTCAACAATATCTATAATTTTAATAAGTGGAGCAGTTCGGGGGAGTAATTCAGGAACCACATCTTTATACTAACCAAGTATCAGAGGTCACTGTTCCATCACTAAACATAGGGGGGTGCATCAAGGACCTGTTACTCTTCACAGACACACCGCTGGGTTCTGGAGACACTGATCTCTGTCTCTTCCTCCTCCTGATACTTACAAAAGACAAACTAAATATTTTGCACATACTTATTACACATACTTGCCACTGTCGCCTTTTGGCTTGCTTGGTTAGGGACGCTTAACGTATTATTGACTTGACTGCAGAGACACTGTTGGATGAGAACTCTGCGGGGCGGGGGTTTGGGGGGGGGTGTCTCATTCCAAATCCGATGGACTTTATACAGTTATTGAACTGACTTAACGTATTATTGACTTTACTGCAGAGACACTGTTGGATGAGAACTCTGCGGGGCGGGGGTTTGGGGGGGGGTGTCTCATTCCAAATCCGATGGACTTTATACAGTTATTGAACTGAAATTAACCAACAATGCACTGATTTCAACTGAATGATGACTGATTACTTTTGTCATTTTTAGAGATGCTGTACAGTAGAATAGAATTTTGTTTGCATCACTGAATAACTAATTTCTATATCTGCAAAGCTGCTTCAAACAATTTGTATTTTATAAAGCAATATAAAAATAAAGATGGCTAGACTTGAATTTACATACTTTTTTCCAAACCGATTTACAAATAAGGAGTACAAAAAGCAATTAATTGATACGAGAAATTTCATGATTTTGTTCAGAGGAATACAGACTAGTACTGACTGTAAAACAATATTGAGTTGTATTGCTCAAAACAATGTCTTCGAACTGTTACACATATGCATCATTTGATACATGAATACATAAAATATAAATAAATGACTATTTGAGAAGTGTTTGAAGTTGATACGCTCCAGGAGCCGGTTGCACCAGCTGGGCGTACACCTGGTTGTAAGTCTAGGCAAAACTGGGTAAGACTACATTTGAAACAAAACCTTATGCCTAGTCAAAGGTAGGTGTAAAGTGAGAAGTCATGATTTATTTGGACATTATTAGTTTTTTGGATTCATGTCTGTGAATTAATTATTACGGCAGGCGTGAACTGTGATGTTTATGGTCTTTTTCGGGCAATATAAGCAATATATAGCGATTCGTAAACAGATTCGAAGACCACACTGTTGACAGAGGTAACTGACCTAAAACAAAATATATTTATGTAATTATGCAGTAAAATATTACATGTGATCTGGAATTATTAGAAGAAACCGTACCATGCATCATCTTGCTTGGATGGACAATAGAAATGCTTGGACATTATAAATAACTTGTAACTCGCTTGCCACGGATTAATCACAATAAGCTTTGTTCTTTGTTATTTTTAATAAGAAACATATTCTCCACTTTTAAATCTGTCAATTTGATCACGGAATACAAACTATAAATGCTTTGATACTCTTTAAAGTGGCATTCACTGTTTTGCCTCAGTTCAAACAGGACATGAATCAATCATCTCTTCCTCTTTGCTACTAATTACAGCAAAAATAAACATGAATGAACATCAGAAGGTGTTGAAAGAAACAAAACATCTTACTGCAATGAAACATATCTCATTTAATCACTCAATCACTGTTTCAACTACAGAAAGATGTCAATAAAACAGCTAGAGAACAATGTCATGTTCGCTGTACATAAACTCGATAGTCAGCTAGGCATAGTTGCGCCTGGTCATAGTTTTAGTTGTAATTGTTTATTGTAAATCTGGACGTAGCTAAGACCAGTGTAGAGCTTACATCCATTTTTTTTTAAGCTGGTGCAACCGGCCCCAAGAGACTGTGAGCCGTGCCCAACAAATCCTCTCAGTGGAGAAGACTGTGTTCACAGGAGAACAGAAGCAGGCAGGATTGCATCCCAGCATGACAGAAAATGATTCAGGAAAATTATTTTGTGCGTCTCTGGTGGTATCGTGAGATGCCGTTCACAAACCAACCACAGGCTTCTGGAATCCACTGTAAATAACTTTGAATAAAAGCATCTGACAAATGCCAAAATGGCTAGTGTCTTACCTGGGCTCAGCGGTCCCTGCTTCATCTTTGGATGTAGTGGAGAGGTTCTTCATCTGTTGATCACAGCTGAACTCAGGAGATGGAGAACTCATTTTAGAGGTTGTATCCTTATCTTCTCTTTCTTCACAGAGACTTATTTCCTACTCTCATTTCTCAAAAACAATGCTAAGAGACTGGTTGACCTTTTATGATGCAAAAAAGATGAAAAGATAAAAAAAAAAAAAACAGCTGAAAAGACAAAAGAAAGTAAATAGACAAACAGATGGAGATAAAAACAAACATTTATCAGCAACTTTGGATAACTAATTGATATATATATATATATATATATATATGATGATCAGCTGACTTTCTCAGACCACATTGCTAAAACTGTCCGGTCTTGCAGATTTGCTTTATTCAACATCAAGAAGATCAGGCCCTTTCTTTCGGATCATGTTTCACAACTCCTCCTTGTTGCTCTTGTTCTGTCCAGGCTGGACTATTATTGCAATGCTCTCTTAGCAGGTCTTCCAGCCACTTCTATCAAACATTTACAATTAATCCAAAATGCCGCTGCAAGATTAATCTTTAACAGCTGAAAAGAACGCATGTCACACCTCTGTTCATCAATTTGCACTGGCTACCAGTAGCTGCTCGCATTAAATTCAAGGCATTAATGTTCGCCTACAAAACCACCACTGGCTCTGCACCCCTTTACCTAAATGCATTACTTCAGAGTTATGTGCCCTCTAGAACCTTGCGTTCTGCAAGTGAACGGCGTATTATTGTGCAATCTCAAAGAGGCACAAAATCACTTTTCTCAGATTTTTTCATTAACTGTTCCCTCCTGGTGGAATGACCTGCCCAACACAATCCCAGCAGCTGAGTCCTTAACCATCTTCAAGAATCGGCTAAAAACACATCTCTTCCATCTTTATTTGACCCTCTAACTCTAGCACTCTCTATTCTATTTTAATTCTACTTTATGTATCTTCTTTCAAAAAAAACTAGCTTTCAATTTTTTTCTATTCTTTCTACTTGTTTTTCTTTGTGTGTGTGTGTGTGTGTGTATTTTTATGTGTAAAATGTGTGTGTGTGTGTGTGTATATATATATATATTAGGCTAATCGAGACTTGTCATTTGCATTTATATATTGTTACTCTATTGTTAGTTTTGATTGCTTCTATTGTCCTCATTTGTAAGTCGCTTTGGATAAAAGCGTCTGATAAATGACTAAATATAAATGTAAATGTAATATACAGCCTGTATATATATATATATATATTACTCTGAAATGATGGCTACGCCCCTTCATTTGCCTATGGGATGCTATATAACCACGAATAACCCAAAAGGCACAAATAAGATGTCTTTTTAAAAATGTCTGATTTCTATTTTTGTTTCCATCTGTTAAAGCAAATCCTTTTGTTTTCGTGCACTCAGGAAAACCCCCAAAGGAAGAACAAGGACGTTCAGATGACACGGAAATTTTAGCCCATTTAAAGGGGTCATATGATGCTTTTTTAAAGATCATTATTTTGTGTATTTGGTGTAACAGAATATGTTGACATGCTTTAATGTTCAAAAAACACATTATTTTTCAAATACTGTACATTATTGTAGGTCCTCTATGCCCCGCCTCTCTCTTACTTGTAACACTCCAAAGAGAAAGGAAAACTTGAAATTGCATCATATGACCCATTTAATTCACTTTAGCAAATCCTTTCAGTATCTGATACTCGGATACCATATAGGTTTAGGTCCTTTTTATCTTCTTTTTTTTTCTTTTTTCTTTTTGAGGAGGAGGAGTTGGTAGGAGGCGTAATGGAAGTACAGTGCATGTCTGCAACAATTAGGATTTACAGTTTAAAGTAAAATATTTATGGAACTCGCATTCTTCTGTCTCCGTATTCTTCCGACCTTCGTCCTCTTCAATAGTCAAAGTCTGTATATCAGAATAATTCAGCTACGCACTTCAGTTGTCTAAATTACGTTTCGGCCATTTTGTCCAGAGCTGTTAAACTGTCGAATGATCGAGGTTTAAATCTAATGTAAAGAACAGCAACACACAAAAAGCAGCTCAGTGTAGGCGACATACACTTACATGATCAATTCTTAATAAATAAATACATTCTTAACTTACCACAAAACAGGCGGTTTAAATATCTAATGTTGACAGGTTTAAAACCTTGAAATGGCGTCTCTTCTTTTCATCCTCTTTCACTTTCGGTTCTAGTTAGTCACGTGTTACTTCGCAGTAAACACGCTCGCGCGTCCTGTAGTGGCGCAGAGCATCATCTCACTCAAGTGAGTCTACTCTAGAGCAGCTGAGATGTAGGTGACAGCCCTACTGAAAAACAACAATAAAACCATCACAGGAAATTTTAATGGTTTCCACTACAAATACCATCACAAAATTAAAAACCATCAAATTTTAACCATTAAAACCATTAAAAAATGTTTTTCTGTAGTGTTTTGGGACATATTCCATTAGGATTTATTGGTTTTAACAAGCCACCAATAGAAGGCGACTAATTACCAGTAGAGACCCACAGTTTCCATTAAAACCAATACAAGTCCCATTATAAACAGTAAAACCATTACAAATTTTGTAATGTGTCTATTGTTTTTTTTCTTCAGCAGGGAGAGCACACAGTCTGAATGAAAATTAAACTCAACACCAAAACTAAACATCAAGAAAATGTTATGTTGTCTAATGAAGTAATAACTTTGTATTGACATTCACCACGCCATTACGCTATAAACACCACTTTCCAGAAACACAACATATAGTATTTAAAATGTGTAAGGGATAATCCATAGTTACCATGGTTATTGCATGGCGTGGAGGCAAAGAACCACCCAACGTGAAGCGCACACACTTACTGTAGCATTAATCTAAATCAGGGGTGTCAAACTCAGTTCCTGAGGGCCGCAGCCCAACCCTGCTCCAACACACAAACCACGCAGTCATGAATGCCATGAGAATGTCATGATCTGTGCCACTAGAGGGAGGGCAAAGCTTTTCTTTTTAAAAACCAAGGCGTCTTAACCAGGTGTCGTTTTACCTGGCCGTGGTGCTGCAACATAAAGTCTGTGTCCTTCATGTGTCAGTCGTCTCTCACTCCCAGCTCACAGCGGTCAGATGATCCAGACAGTACAGGACAGACTCTGACCGTGTCCCACAGAGAGATGACCTGCGCACAGACTCACAGAGACTCCAACAACACATCCATTCAGGACACGAGAGAGGAGTGCAGATGAACAATGAAAACAGACTGAAAGAAGAGAGGAGACGGTGTGACATCTGCCACAACTGTGAAAGGGTGAAAGGTACTTTCACTGGTACAAAATAATGAAGTCAGGTAGTATTAATTGAATAAAACCACATTGTAGGTTACCTGACAAAGTTTTTTTAAATTTTTTTTTAACCCAAACACAGGAAAAAATAAACACATATTTTAACAATTTATTTAAATCCACTTAAAAGAAAGAATTTACAGGGGCATAAATATTACAGATGCAGTTAAATACATATACACAATCATGGACCAGTGGCATACAGCAGATCTTCACTATATTAAGCATGTCACTCAGTTGTTATGGGTATAAAAGAAAAAAAAAGAATCACATACACACATTTTCAGTGTTATAGAAGATTATCTTATTTAATTATGGTAATGTTAATCAGTAAGTGATGATTAATTATATGTAATATTGCACATATAGTGTACAGGTATAAAACACACTGAACTAACAGTTGCTGACAATCCAGTAGGATGAAGCTGAGTCTGTGGATCCTATGAAACAGTGACAACATCTACAGTAGCTTTTATAAGATCATACTAAATTAATGCATTAATTAAAGAGTCCAGCAGAGCTCAGAATGCTTCTACAGACCATCACATTGACTCAGTGAAGTCTCCACTGAATCTCACACAGCAGATGATAGCTTATAATTAAAAGGTGAAAAAAAATCCACGACAAACAGGATTCAAATATGAAGATTCAAATGTTTTGAAAAATCATGTCATGCTTTTACTAAAAAAAAACAAAACAAAAAAAAACTTGCGTATTAAAATAAATATCTAAAATACATAATAGCTCAATTACCTTATATGGACTCGTAAGTCTGTGGAATATGACCTCACAATCGGGCTTTATCCACCTTATTTTTCCCGTAAGAGCGGCGCTGCCATTTGTACATTTAATGCATCTGGCTTCCGGTGTGGTTCGCTTTCAGCTATTTTTAGCTCTACAAAACAGCTGGTTTTGCAAACTGGTGTTTCTTGCCATATTATTTTAATGTCATGTCTTAATTATGAACACACTGGTTTGTAGTGCAAACTATTTTACAGTTTACTGCAGTTTGTTGTTATTCTTGTTATTTCCCTTCAGCGGCTAATGAACCAGAAGTCTCGCACATTCACAGAAAACGGCTTACTTCCACACTGAATAATAAGATGTATACCTCACAATACAAGTTATCTTACAATGTGACTATATGTTATAATGTAACTAGCCAACTACTTATTTCATAATGAAATAGTCACAATTAGTTTTTTTTATGAAAAAATGAATTTTTATGAAATGTAATAGACACTCCTAGCAATTAATTTTGTGTTTTCTCACAAGAGGTTGCTACATCGGACAGAGAAACACTGAAGAATCACGATAAACCAGAAATCCAGCATAGAGGGGTTCAGTAAATGTGGTGTTGAATGTGTGTAAGTGTGTGAGTGTGTGTGTTTGTGTGTCTGTGTCTGTGTGTGTGTTAGAGACACTGTAGAAGGACAGAGAGCCAGCTGACCAGTCCAGATACACTCCTACTCTAGTAGATGGTGAAGGGCGAGGAATGTTTGTGCTCTTATTATTGTGCCAGACAGAGTAAATTGTATCACAACAGTAAATATTCCAGGACTTTTCATTGAGTCCAAACCGACATTTGCTCCCACCTTTCCGTTTGATTCCTTTGTATGCCACAGCTACATGACCCCATCCGCTCCATTCAACCTCCCAGTAACAGCGTCCAGTCAGACTCTCTCTACACAAAACCTGCTCACAGTTCTCAAACCTCTCTGGATGATCAGGATGCGGCTGATTCTCTCTCTCACACTTTGTTTTCTTGTTCCCTGCAGACAGAGAGAGACGAGTGTGTGCTGTGTTCGGATCCAGTGTGAGATCACATGCATCTGGGAAAAACATCACAGAAAGACAGATTAGAACAATTATGGCTTTATTAAATATGTATTGGTGAATTTGTGTATCCATGACTTACACTTTCGCAGTCCTTGTGTGATCCTGAAATGTTCTCCATGGTCCAAACTGAACAAAGACATAATGAAAAGAGACAAAAGTACATACACAAACAAATAATAAGGGTGAATAAATTCTGCATTTGAACCTGAAAGAGTACAACAAAGTATTAAATGGTTCATGTCATGAGAAACCAAATTTGCCTTGATCTTTTGATCACATCATGACACCATTAAGACATCTTGCAAGTTTCAAAGCCCAATATATCCTCCTCAGTACAAAAAATGCATTTAAGCAAGATTGAAAAATGGCTCGTTTAGATTCTGTAGGATTTGTCACACAGGCAAATATATTTATACAGCAAGACACTGACGCTCACTTTTACATCCTCACACCATTGGCCCCACCTACTGGTGCTCAATCAAATCTATAGTTATGCGTCTCATTTTTTATTGATCATTTGTTGGTACGGATGAGAGACCTGGTGAGCCAAATTATTTTTGTCCAACAGCCAGGTGTGGCTCACAAGTCATAGGGTCCCGATCACTAAAATAGACAGATGCCCCATACTATTTCTTACACACTCCATGCGTTTGAGCTACTCGTGACAACAGGACAAATGAGAGAGGAAAGGAGCATTTGACTGAACATTGTTTTCTAAATGAGGCACAATGTAATGCAGGGTTCATGAAGAAACTTTTGTTGAAAGATGAAGCTGTGCTAGCTGTATTAGGTATGACAGCAGTCATGTCACAAAGTGTAATTAAGCAATTTCAAAAACAAAAACAACAAAAAATAATAATTGCATGACTTAGTCTAGTAAGTGGAAAATAACACCACATTGCAAAGAATAATAAATTAAAAAAAAAGAATTATGAATGTCTTGATCTTTCTCTAGATTTACAATCTTAAAAATGTAAAATCACAGTGCTCACAACAGTGGCTGCGTTTTACAAGACCATATGGTATGGCGCGGGGGGTGGGGGGTGTAAATAAAACAGTCCAATGGCACACTGAAGCACTGAAATGCAGGGAAAAAAGATAGAAAGGGGGAAATATTTCAATAATTAAACACTGCGTCATCAGTGTTGGTAGTGTATCAGAGACTTGCACTTAACATTATAAGAAAATCAAGCTCAAATGGGAGTTAACAAGGTTTTTGACCAGTGAATGAGGAGATCTGTGTTTTGTCTGTCAATAGAACGGTTCTATCTGAGGCAGCAAATGCATGGCATTATACGCTTTCATCGACTTTTACAGGTTATAAAACGTTTATTGTAGCTATATGGGTGCTTAGTTTTTCTTGCTGTTTAATATACTTGGCCAAAATCTCATGATATAAACGATGAAGCGCTATATGCACAGGATATTTAAAACATACAAAAGTATATTGGCTACAACTAGACAGAAAATAGCCTTCTTCTCCGCTCTTCAAACACACAAAAAACATCAGCCTTTACAGACATAGTGTTTGAGTAAAGAAAACGCTGTACTATTCAAACATAGTTATTTATTTACCCTTGCATTGCAAACAAACGGAGATCTGTCTGTGCGTGGCGCGTCAATCTGAATGGAGGCGAGATGAAGTTGCGAGGTTTCGCTGACAGCTTGAGGATCCAATGGCATTACGAAGTTTTACTGACAAGCTCTTTTTAATGCTTATCATTGGTTAAATATTTGTAAAACCCTCTGATTTAAAATAATAATAATGAAATATAATAGAGATGTGAAGTTTAGATAATTTTTCAATGCACACCTGACTGGGCTAGGGTATGGCAACTGCCATACTCTTTCATAGGCCTGGGCGATAAAAGGGTATTGGTATTTATCAACGGTACACCTTCATCAATAACAATAAAAAAAATGTTCGATATAGCGCACGGTATAGGCATGTGCTATGAGAGACGCAGACAGTACACACGAACACATGCTGAGTGCTGTGCCTGCCTGTGATGAGGAGATTGTGAATAAAAAATTAATATTAATCGAATTTAAAATAAAAATTTGCATTTGAATGCAAAAACGGTGCAATTGAATGTTAGGTGTGCGTCAGTGAGGGAGCCTCATCAGAGGCGCAAGAGATGCGGTGATGATGATGCAAGTGTCTTTGTCGTATTTTATTGTATTTGTTAGTCTGTCCAGTTGAACCCACAAGACACGCCGCTGCTGCGTTATTCATTCAAAATATTAGAGAAATATAGAAGCTCAATGCGGAGAAGCTATTGGTTAGGTTAAAACCAAAACCAAGCCATTCACAAAGAACGCATATTAGGCGCATTTTTGGGACAGACAACTATGACTGTTGCACTCGTGTTTCACGCAAGAGATGTATAGAAAGCCATGTAAAGTTAAAAGAGTTTAAACTTTTAGAAAACACATTGCGAATTTGTGGACGTTTATTCCATTTCACTGCGTCTCATGTTTTTAAATGCAATCTGCGTGATCGGCGCTTCGTCTATTTCAATTAAGCTATGTATAAATACATGATGCTGTTTTGTTCATAATTGTTTATGCAATTTATCAAATTATATTTGATTTATATATGTTAATTTAGACATTGTGCACATTTTTTATAGACTGTTATTTTAATTGCATTACATAAACAATTTAATTCGCTGCATTATTTTGCTCATTGCGCCCTCCTGTGGCTATTTAATCTGAATATAAGACATAAGAAATTAGATATTTGTTTAAATTTTATTTTGTGTTTGACTGTTAAAACAAACAAAAGAAATTGTTGTTTGTCTTAAACTGGGTAAATTAAAAATACAGCGGTTGAATTAATTTTTTTCTATTGCTCTTTGTTTTAAAAAAGGTTATAATAAAAATGTCAATAATTATCGATACCGAACGATATGAAACATTATATTGTTGATACATTTTTTAGCTATATCGCCCAACCCTACTCTGTCATAAGGAAACGCCACCTGTGGCTCACAGACTTTCTTAGAAGATTGCTCTTTGTTGACCCCATCACACAAACAAACACACATATGAGTCATAACTGCTCCACATACTTGAGAATCTGCAGTGAGCAGAGTGGATCATTCAGTCTGTTGCTGAGCAGCTGGACTCCTGAGTGTCCGGGGTGATTGTAGCTCAGATCCAGCTCTCTCAGGTGTGAGGGGTTTGAACTCAGAGCTGAAGACAAATAACCACAGCCTTCCTCTGTCACCATACAGCCAGACAACCTACAGAGAGAGAATGTCTGAAATCTCATTCATGTGTTTTGTCCTTTTGGAATTTGACAACTGGTCACTATCATAGGCGGAAACATCTGAGGGTTGTCCCCCCTAAAAATATGATTAAAAACCACGCTGTGTATTGTAAATAACAATGTTTTATACTTTAAATAATTGTGTAAGTAACGAGGCAAAAATGCGTTTTGAGTTTAGAAACATTTTGAGTCTCCCCCTCCCTTGCCTCACAGTGCTTTGGTCCAAATGCCTGCTTTCCTCTTTTACATCACCTACACACACACACGAGTCCGGTGATAGAGAACAAAGTCAATAGCTGTGGAACTCCAAGGCTGTCAAGGCTATTTTATTCACTTAAACACCGGATTAAGTTATTATTTTCTCTTTAATACAGATGATGCCAATGTATTTTTCGATGAGTCCGCTATGTTATCTATAATAACGTTACCTGCTTGACGGACAGGGTAGCCAGGTTTTCACATCAAAACCCACCCAATTCCTACTCAAAACTAGCCCAAACTAACTACATTTCGGAGGGGGTTCCCTGGTAAAAATCATATTCCAGGGGCTAAATATCACATTATTGGGGTCGCTTCAACCCGTGGACATGAAAAACAACCCGCGGCAACAGTGGTAAAGTAGTCCAATTCCATGGGAAAACCGCAGACTCTGCAACACTGTGAAGGATAGTAATGTCTACAACGGACACGAGAGCTGTCACAGCGCGACCACAACAGCTTGAAGTTGTCTAATTTGGCACAGCCTCCCTGCTGCAGTAATAGTAGTAAAGCTTTCCTCTGTGTATACATATCCTTACAAGTACAATTTTAGCTGTATTATTTGTGTCCCCTTCAAAAACTGCCCTTGAGAAATATGTTTATTGTCCCCCCCCCTACTGTTAGACGAAATTTACGCCCCTGGTTA